CCAAATTTGGTACATGATTTGCGTTTACTGTTATCTTTAATTGGTAAAAATATGAATTTGTTGGAAGCCCAATAAGTGCCGGACTAGGAGTAGGGCGCCTTTAAAATGATATTGATTTCTTTAGCAGTATGCCAATTATTAAATAGTTTTACCAGTATTACAGGAAATTAAATTTTACATATTTCTCGAAAAAAGTATGGTTTTTGAGAAAATCGGGGTTTTGTGAAACAGCGTCATTACTGAGTGGGATAAAAAGTAAAGTACCTACTTAATTTTACGACTAGTAGGCTATGATTTCATGTGTCATTTTTTACGTTTACAAAAAAGTAGCAATAAAAACCGATTAGATCATTAAATTAGATTATTTATTTTGTTTTTTAAAAAAAGGGAAACCTTACAAACAAAACATTAACAAATTCAACTTTAACCACATGAACTACCGATATCGTTAAATGACACTACAATAACTGTTGAAAATGCCCCCCATTTTCTCCAATACATAAATTTACCCTCCGCCGAAAATTAAAGTTACTGTGTGCAATAACTGTATATCATTTTTTTATTGCGTTGCATTTATTATTTATACGATTCCATAAATCCATTTCAAATACAACCAGTGTAAAATAAACAAATTCTTTTAAAGCTCTTTAAAAAAATTACTTTTATTCAGATCTGGTGATCTTGGTGGCCAATTTTTTGGATAATTGTTTCCTCGTCCTGTCCATCGATTCGGGCCAGCTGGTTCAAGAAGTCTCATACATTAACATTAGCACTAAAATGAGGTGAAACACCATTGCGCATGAACCAAATTTGATCTTAGTTGCAAAGATAAATCCTCGAGTAGCCCAGGGAGAGTATTTTGTAAAAAAAAATAAATAATTTTGTTGTTCAGCCGGTTTGGTAGAATAACTAGCCCAACCAAATAACACCAGATAATACCAGTCTACACGTTTATTTTAAATTCATTTTAAAAATGGCGAGGAATTATTGCATGTGGATTTCCATCCGAATATTCATGAAAATTATGCAAATTTGTGATTTCTCTTTGAATTAAACAGGCCTCGTCTGTAAAAAGAATCTCATGAAATGAAAATTTTGCAGTCATTTTCCAAGACAATGGAATAATACATGCTAAGGTGCATTCTTTGTAAACGTTAAAAATAACACATGAAATCATAGCCTGTATAACTGAATACTTTACTTTTTATCCGATTCGATTAGTGCTGTTTCACAAAGTCTCAATTTTCTCAAAAACTGTTATTTTTTTCGAAAAATTTGTAGGATTAAAAAAATTTATAAAATTAAATTTCCTGTAATAACTGGCATACTGATAAACAACTTGATATCATTTTAAGAGCGTCTTATAGCCCTAGTCCGGCCCTTATTGGGCTTCCAACAAATTCATATTTTTACCAATTTTTAACAATAAACGCAAAACACACCACATGTACATGTGTGTACCACATTTGGTTGGTCTATGTTAAGGCATTGTTGAAATATTATTGTTTTTTAAAATTTTACACTCATCTTCAGAGTAAAAGGCCAATATCTAATCAATGGTACATCCCAGAAAAAAAATGTTACATAACAAATTGAAATATTTTAAGATCTTCTACATATGTCTGCCTTGTGTTGGTAGAGTTATGAAACACCCTGTATATAGCAATTGATTAATATAAAATAATTACGCTCCCCCTTAGTCGACGATTTATTGATTATTTATTTAAAAGTCAACAAAATTAGTGCCTCCATTAGATATATGAGTGCATCATTTAGGGGATTACGAATTAGTTGGATTACAAATAAAGGACAAGTTGAATTAAGAAGAGAATTGCAAATGTCCTGTAAGAAAAACAACTTTTAAATAATTTAAATAACTTAAAACTTTTACTGTGTTCTACCATAGTACTCATACATACCTACTAGTATTCTCTGTCTTTCCATGGTTCCGGTTAACTCTCTCAGTATTACCTTCTAAATAGTATTTGATCACTGAAATAAAATGTGTTGGGACTGACCAATTAGAGTGTAGAATGAGGCAACATCTTCATAATTTCATTATTTAAATTCAGTTGAGTGGTTGTCTGCTAGTCCATTATCCAGTTGAATTCTCATTCTGTGATTTGTGATATTCTTTGTTTTACTTTTTTGTGTATTTTTTTCTCATATTAAACCACGATTTTTTTTATATTTTTCGTTCTTATTTTCTTCAAAGTTTTAAAAGTTTTGACTTAAGTCTCATTTAATTAATGAAATACAAATTAATCAATTATTATTGTTTTTCTAATGCTGCAAATGATCAATGATTTCATTTTTATAGCTGTCTCTTATAGTTTTGTTAGTTAGTTCCATATTCCAGTAGAGTTATTATTTTGTTATTATTTTTACAACTGTCAAACAAGTCATTTGAAATTGTTGTAATGAGGTTAAAAAACAGCTAACAGAAGGACCAGCGTTCATGCAGCAAAAATTTTTGATTAAAATTATTTTAAAATATCTTATTCTTTAGATATAGAGGGGTAACACTTTTCAGCATCTCTGCCTCTACATAAAAATGTGTCTTAAAGGGCCCCACAGATTTCGTTCCATTTCTGCGAACAGGACCGTACAGACAAATCAACGTATTTAACCGAAACAGATTTTACACGACGGTGACCCTACCCCTTTGTTCTCCATAAACTGTGTGCCTGACATATTCGTGCGGCTGGCCCAATTCACGCCAATTGAGCGAAGTCTGTGGGGCCTGTAACTGGAAAGCGGTCCCATTATGATATACCTAAATATGTTCAGTTTAATCTAGGCGTAATGTAAAAATAATGGCAATAAGTCATAGCTACTCGGCATTTTGTAAATTGTAAAAAAAACTGTATTTACACATCATTTTATAACTTGCCTAATCATTTATAAAACTACTAGGCGTTTTATAAAAAAACTGAATTTGCAATTAGCCTGCGACATATACAGGGTGTGTCACTTAACACTCCCACTGCCAATATCTCCAAAATGAAGAAATTTATTTTAGTTCGGGAATTTGGGGTTATTAGTTCACTTGAGTAGCTTCAAATTGTAGTTAGAAATGTTAGTTCTAATATTTTTATATAGATGGCATGGCGATACTAAAAAGTTTTTTGATCCCTGGAACGTGGAAATGTGGTCCATCTGAAAGATCGTTAAATTTTGAGTAATTTTTGTAATATAAAGTTTTTTCCTATATTTACTTGTTTTCGAGGCATGTCGACTTCAATATGCAATGTATGATGTAACAGGAAAATCTATTATTTTATTTAAATCGCACCGAGACAAAATATTCTTTTAATATATTGTTATAATGACTTTATTCACACTACATACTAACTAACAATAAATTATATGATCAACTATAGGAAAAAAAATGTACAATAGTAAATCTTATAACTGGTAGGTATAGTTAAACTGAAAAACGCAAGTTGATAAAACTGTAATTAAACTAATATGTGTCATCTGCCATACATGTTTTGTTTTAAACAAATGACATGAGCCACCTATGACTGCATTTTTTAATAAAATTTTATAAAATACGGTTCATCCCCCTTATAAGATTTACCATTATGCGATATTTTTTTCTGTTATTGATCATTCTTTTTTTTTATAATTTATTGTTTCTTAGTTAGTATGTGATATGAATAAAGACATTTTAACAATACTTTAAAAGAATATTTTGTCTCAGTGTGATTTAATTAAAATAATAGATTTTCCTGTGACATCATACATAGCACATTGAAGTCGACATATCTTGAAAACAAGTAAATATAGGGAAAAACTTTACATTACAAAAATTACTCAAAATTTAACGATCTTTCAGATGAACGGCATTTTCACGCTCTAGGGATCAATTTTTTTTTAATATCGCCACGCCATCTATACAGAAAGATTTGAACTAACAGTTCTAACTACAATTTGAAACTATTCGAGGGACCTAACAACCCCAACTTCCGGAACTAAAATAAATATCTTCATTACAGAGATATTGGCAGCGGGAGTGTTAAATGGCACACCCTGTATATGTATAGATGGAGCAAGTTTGTCATACTTTTAATCTGATTTGAAATCAAAAATACGATGGGGTTTTTAAAATTCATTATTGGAAGTTCTTATTGATGTTTTAATATTAATCAAAATTTTGAAGAAAATTCCGGGTTTTTATGAAACTATTGTAAATAATTTAGACAGTGCAAAGTTGTGCTATCGAAAAAAAAACACTCGTCTCATTGGATCGTACAGGATATGAATAAATGGTTGCCTAACCTACAGGTTAAAGTAGTGAACATTATTGCACATGTTCAAAGTTTATCTAATTTTTGAATGGAAACTAAATCAAATCCGGTATAGAATTATTTTCCTTATTAAATGTTTCTGAAGTAAAATTTTGAATTTATATTCATAGTTATAGAAGATGTTTTCTTTCTATTTTTCTTTCCGTGTATAAACTATAGATTTTAATTGTACCTTAAAACTAACAAGTATTTTGCATGTTTTTCTTGTAAATTTTTCGCAAAAATCAAATTCTGTTGTCGGATTCAGAAAAGTAGAATAAAATTTATAATCGGCAGTCTTTAAAATAAAAATGTAAATAACTTTCGTAGCATTTTTGGAGCCATTAACATTAATCATAAAAACATAAAAATGGCTTGTGGGGTTTTAAAGAGACACCCAGTATTAGTTGGAATTATTTCTTTTTTAATTTCTTTCTCTTTCTGCATATTTTACCCTTGATTTTGCTATTTATAAAATTGAAACAAAGTTTGGTTGTTGGTCTTTTTTCCAAACTCAGTTTCTGTTGCACTACACAGCATCCATTTGTCTAGTTTCAGGAAAGACAAGAACGTGGTACCCAAGTCGAAACGAACAGAGCTACAATTAATCATATATTTTTACCCAAAATGTATATATAATATTTATACACTGTTGGCATTGGCACTGTTTGAAAAATATATATTATATATATACATAAATCATTAAACGTACAATAAAAAACAAAATATAATACTTAATAACAATATGAAACAAATCGGCTTACACACATAAATATGCCTCGGAAACATATCAGAGCCATTTTTAAATCACAACACGTAACACATCCTTAAGTCGTCACTTTTTATCATCTAATTTGGCTTTGTCTAGTGTCGACGTCACCAGCATGGGCTGCCCCTGCTGAGTGTTCTGATTGGGGAATACTTTGTCCAAGTGTTTTAGCGACTCACTCAAGAAATTCTGTATGGCCGTGAGGGCGGCCACGATGGCCGGACTGCCGAATCCGTGACTGATCAGCGAGAAATGAGTCAAATGTCTCTGTATCGACGGGTCCAGCAGTATCTGCGGCCTGGTGTTGCACAGCGGCGACCTGTCCTGGTTCAGGAGGTCCATCAGTTCCTTCGTGACCTGCTTAGTGGCCTGGAGGAGTTCCTTCCTCCTGGGGGTCTCGCCGTGCTGCCTCAGCAGGTACTCCGCCACCTGTCTCGCGGGGAACTCCGTCTCGCAGACGTACCCAAAGTCTCTGGCGAGGTGGATGGCTTCGCCCTCCACCAGCGACGTCAGGAGGGTGACGTTGGCCGCCTTCCGCCTGCCGGCGGGTAAGTTGAGGCCGATCTTCTCCAGCTTCTCCCTGAGGATCCTGCCTCCGTTCTTGCTCTTCGCCCTCCTCAGTACCCCGCCCAGCAGCGACGCGTTCAGGCATTCCGGGGGGGACAGTCGGCGCTGCACCTCTCCCACCGTCACCTTGTACTTAGAAGTGGAGGACAGCAGCGAGAGGCGGCCGGGAACTGAACAGAAGACGTCGCTGGGCGATACCATGCTTCCTCCCCCATGGTCTTTGCCCCCTTTTATACCTGAAACACGTTATATTTACTTACAATTTCTTCAGTTCTGAATAAAAAGGGGGAGAGAGAGAAAAGTTGGGTAGAGATGAGGCAACGATGAGATATACACTCGGCAAAAAAAAATTAAAGGATCAAAATAATTTCCGATTTTTTTAGTGATTTTTGAAAGGCTGCAATTTCGTGAATAATGGTCGTACGAGAAAAAAAATAAGCATCTTGAGGCTTGAAGTTTCTAGTTTTAAAATTTTGAGATGAAAAATTTTCTCTCGGCGCATGAGGCTTGTGAATTTTGAAATCGATCCATCGAACCGTTTTCCTTTCCTGAATCGTCAGTTTTATAAAAAATTAAAGGAGCATCTATTAAGATGAAACAAATTTTTTTAACGTTATTTGTTTCACAATTTCCCGTTAAATACTCATCAAATATCGAAAAAAGAAAAATTCAAAATTTTGAAAAAAAATCAATTTTAAAAAAATTTATTAAAAAAATGCAATTTTTTTGCAATTTTACGTTAAATTTACATTACATTTACATTAAAAGTTGAAAAATTTGACATCAAAATTTTAAGCCGAATTTGAAACGTCAAGTCAAAAATTTCGCGCGCGACGAGAGGGACATTCACGCGCATGCGAGGGTCTGGCGCTCCTCCTCCATGCAGACCGTTCATTAACTTAACTTGTACTGCTGCTAGTGCGTTTATTACGTGAACTATCTGTGTAAAACGTTCAGAAATTAAAAGTTTAACCCTTTCTTTAATCGCCTCTAAAGTCTTGGACCAATCCGTCAAATAGTTAATTAACAATTATCGTTATAATTACCTTTGGAACAAAGAGGCGTGGGTGATTTCTCTTGGTTTTAAAATTACCATAAAAATAAGCTCTATTCAATGAAAAAAGAGAGAATTCCCGAGCGGATTTTGCTTGTTTACAACGCTGTTTTGCACGCCATACTTTGTTAGTTTCAAAAGGCTGTTTAATTTCAACTTTTTGAAATATTTCTTTTTCGATACGTTTCTTTGAATCAATTAGAACCTATATCTACGATATTAACTTCAAAAATTAACGTTTAGTAATTAAACAATTAGTTACAAAACAAACGAACGAAATTAATTAACAAATACCCGGAGCAAAAATTTCGCGGTCAATCGAATCGACCTTTGGCACACATGTTGGTCTTTGGATTGACCCTCTTCCATAAGTTTCAGCAACATCCATTGCTTTTTGCAATAATAATGTGCAATTTTCGAAAACTGATATTTTCGCATTCAACCTTTATTTTACGGTAAACAAATTAGTGACAAATTACTTCAGATACTTTAAATTGTAGGTAAATTAATTGTCTACAACACAAAATAACAAATTTTCCGATATGTCGTCTAGATTTCCGTGAGCAGTAAAACGTAAATTTGCCACTTATTTAATTAAAAAAATTAATCAAACACTATAAACGTTTATAAATTGTAACCGAAATACCTAAGTTCTAATGAAAATTCATGGATCAACTATGGACCATTTTCTTGTAGTGATAATTTTGTACATTCTGTACGACAGTGAGATACATTTTGCTTGCAAATTCCTTACGTGCTTTGCCTTTTCTGTGGATACTAAAATTCAACCTACTTTTAAGCAGAGGCAGGTCCGTGATGAAGCCAGTGTTATCTTCTAACCCGCCTTGAGCTTCTTCGACCGCCTGGCCGAGGGCTTGGTGCAGCGACAGGGGATCGTCGTGGGGTCTTTGGGAGGCTACCGAGTAATCCGGTCTACCTGAACCAGGCGTCGAACTGTATGGGAAACTCGCGCCGTGACTTAGTTGACTCTGCAAAAACATCAATTGTTAGTCATTAAAAATTATTACTAAAAGTGTCGGACTGGCTATGTTTAAGGGCGCCTAGTTCAATTCCGCGAAGGGCCCTTTTTTTATTGTACTTTAACACAAACTGCATGAACGGAAATTTGGCGATATTCGAAAATATTCCAGATTTCGGTGCGAGGTATAATAAGCCAGCAGGGCTAACGATTATTATCTCTGTAAGCTGCTTTGCAATTCCTGCACCAGTAGATATGTAATATACAGGGTGTCCCGTTCATATTTCAAAAAATTTATGTGGAAGTTCCTCATGGGAAAATAGTAGGGGTAGTTCATAAAATTTTTTTCTTAGACGCCATGTTTTCGAGATACAGTGTGTTGAAGTTGTTACTTTCCAAATGGTTTTCCTTAACTATCTTTAAATCGGCTAAAGATAAAAATGTCAAAATTTTTTAGACGAGTAACCATCAACTGTGCGTTAAGAATAATGTGCAAACGGGTTCTTTCTGAAAAGCAGACACAAAAAAAAGTTGTTTGTACTTTTCATGCGATATATGTTATCCGTAGTATTTTTACCTCCTGATCACGAATCTGGTGTCAGAATTGAGCTTTCACATCTTAGGATTTTCCTAACCTAAAAAAACTAGTAAAAAATAGCAAAAATTCATGAAAAAGTGCTAGGAAAAATACAAATTTTTTTTTATATATATTCAAATGTTCATTTATAGTTATTATTAAGATCCTGCCCAACGTGAATCTGCGGCCAGATATAATGGTTCTTTTTCTAACTTCAAATTAAGTCAATTAAGGCAGATATCACGAATTTTCAAAAAACACATTCGCGCCAAATTTGGTATACGGGGGTTTTCTGGGTCGCTCATCACGGATCCGAGGTCAATTTTGTAAAATTCAAGATGGCGGATCCAAGATGGCCGATCAAATTTTCAAAAAATAACAATCGCAACAAATTTGGTATACGGGGGTTTTCTGGGTCGCTCATCACGGATCCGAGGTCAATTTTGTAAAATTCAAGATGGCGGATCCAAGATGGCCGATCAAATTTTCAAAAAATAACAATCGCAGCAAATTTGGTATACGGGGGTTTTCTGGGTCGCTCATCACGGATCCGAGGTCAATTTTGTAAAATTCAAGATGGCGGATCCAAGATGGCCGATCAAATTTTCAAAAAATAACAATCGCAGCAAATTTGGTATACGGGGGTTTTCTGGGTCGCTCATCACGGATCCGAGGTCAATTTTGTAAAATTCAAGATGGCGGATCCAAGATGGCCGATCAAATTTTCAAAAAATAACAATCGCAGCAAATTTGGTATACGGGGGTTTTCGGGGTCGCTGACTACGGATCCGAGGTCAATTTTGCAAAATTCAAGATGGCGGATCCAAAATGGCCGACCAAATTTTCAAATAATAACAGAATCGCAGCAAATTTGGTATACGGGGGTTTTCGGGGTCGCTGATTACGTATTCGAGGTCAGAATTGCGAAATTCATTTTGTAATATTTTACTTTATAACCTGAGTACCCAATCATGTGTTAATCTACTTTTTTCGGCTATATCTTGTTCTTTTTTCTGTAAAAGATCTATTCACGGGTTGAATTTTGTAAATCTGATCTCGGATTCGTGATCAGTGACCTCGAAAACCCCCGTATACCAAATTTGGCGCGAATGTGTTATTTTTTGAAAATTTTGTCGGCCGCCATCTTGAATTTTGCAAAATTGACCTCGAATTCGTGATGAGCGACCCCGAAAACCCCCTTATACCAAATTTGATGAGAATCTGTTATTTTTTGAAAATTTGGCCGGCCATCTTGGATCTGCCATCTTGAATTTTGCAAAATTGACCTTGGATCCCTGATCAGCATCCCCAAAAACCCCTGTATACCAAATTTGGAATGAATTTGTTATTTTTTGAAAATTCGTGATATCTGACCTTAATTGACCCGCTTTTTTTGAGGTTAGAAAAAGAACCATCAATTCTGACCGCTAATTCACATTCGGCGGGTTCTGAACTATATAAATGAACATTTAAATATAGAAAAAAAATTGTTCTATTTTTCCTAGCACTTTTTCGTGAATTTTTGTTATTTTTGACCTGTTTTTTGAGGTTAGGAAATTTCTGTGATGTGATAGCTCAATCACAGGCAAAATAGCTATCGCCACAGACCGCTCCTGGAATAGGCCAGCAGTTTTAAATTTCCGAATTGCCGGTAGAGTACGTCACCAGCAGAAATTTAGGAAGAATCAAATGCAGCGGCCCGCATACCTAAGCGTATCCTAGCAACATATAAATAAGACTTTGGTAATGTTACCAGGCGTACTTACGGATTTCTTTTGTACACTTTTTTATCAACATCTGTTTTTTGCGTTACTGTATTTACTTCAATGTATGATGTAGGCATTGATAAAAATGTTTTTAAAGAATCAACGAATATCTATAGTACGATCGTAAACGATGCAAAGTAGAGCAAAAAATTGTCGGTCTTTTATCAAAGGAAAATCGTGTCATCATTTTTAGGAGGCGTAAGATGAACCGTTTCAAATTTAAAATGAAATTGAATGTAAAATCTGAAATACCGCCGCATACGCACTGTGTTCTGGTACTAGCTGTAGTCGGCCAGGTGCATCGAGTGTACGAAGTGGTCGGTTATACGTCAAATACTAACCTGGCGAGCTTGATCGTAGAGCAGGGAACAATAAACAGTGGCGCGTACAGAGGTGAAATGTAGTAC